CTATTTGGGGTGCGAAAAACACCAACGAAGGAGCGCCTCGCCGCCAATGGCATCTCGCGCACCTCGACCCCAGGCTCTGGTACTGGAACTCCCAGGGCCGGTGCTCCGCTGCTGAACATCCCCGGCCGTAACGTCGAGAACCTCGTCCTTGAGCCGCAGTACATTCTTCCGCGTGGCCAATTGCGCCGCCCCATTCCTGATATTATCAAGGATATCAACCGCAAGAGCCGTGCCAACATCACCATGTCGACCTCAAGCAACGGAAGACTCAAGTTTGAGGCTACAGGCCAGCAGGACGTTGCGCAGCAAGCCCTGAAGGATCTGGTCCAGCAGATTGGCACGACGGTATGTATTGTACGCACAAAGTTTCTTCCATGTTGTAGCTGACGTGGAATGATTTGCAGCAAACGATCAAGGTCCCCATTCCCCAGTCCGCGCGAGCCCACATCATCGGTCGCCAGGGGTCCACCATCAAGGCCCTGCAGCAGAAGTCGGGTGCCCGCATCCAGATGCCCAAGCAGGATGAGAACGTGCCCCAAGATGATGATGATGACGATGCCGTTATTGACGTCATTGTGGAAGGCAATGCGGTTTCTGCGGCTGCAGCTCGTAACGAGATACTGAAGATCGTTGGTGACCGCGGCGCCAGTGCCACGACCAAGCTTCGCGATATCCCCGCGCAGTTCTACCCCTTTATTGCCGGCCCCAACAACAGCCTGCTCGCCCCTTTCGAGACCGATGGCGTTCAGATTCGCGTTCCACCGTACCAGGCGTGGGCCTCGGAGCCTCTCCCCGCTGTTCCCAACGCTGGACAGCGCCCTACGTTTGCGCCCGCCTCTCGTGACAACCACATCTCGCTTGCTGGTGACCGCGCTTCCGTTCAGGCCGCCCGCTCCGCCATTGATCGGCGTGTTCAGGAGCTGCACGACCAGCTCCTGATGCAGCAGGTGTCTATTCAGCCTGGTCGTCACCAATTCATCATTGGCCCCCGTGGCGTTACTGCTGATCAGTTCTTGTCCGAGACTGGCTGTGCCATCTTCCTGCCTGACGATGGCGACAACGACACCATTACTGTCATTGGGCCCCAGCAACACATTGACAATGGTATGGAGCACGCCATGGACCTGGCGATGAACATGCAGAGCTCATCGCTCGACATTTCACGATTCCACAAGAACGCTCCTGGTGGCGGTGCCCAGCACGCACGAAACGTTACCAGGTTCCTGCGTCACCGTGGCCTTCTCGCCCAGCTTGAGGAGGCACACAAACTTCCACGCCAATACCCCTCGTGCCTCCGATGGTGGTGCTCTTCCCTGGGAGCTGTACGCACGTGATGGCAAGAACGCTTTGAAGGCTCAGAGCAGCATTAGCAGCCTTGTGAACGCCTTCCCTCCCTCCAGACTCTCGGCCATTCCCGTCGACCCCTTTTTCCACGCATATCTCCGTAAGGACGTCACTCCTCGCATGACACAGTCTCACGGCGTCCACGTCATCCTTCCTGGCGCCGAGGACAGCGACGGCCCCGTTCTTCTTGTGTTTGAGGGACCCTCTGCTACCGAGTCTAAGCCCGAAATCAAAGCAGGTGCCCCTTCAGCTGACGAGATCAAGGCTTTCCAGCAGGGCATCGAAGAGGCGAGCAAGCATATACTGGACATCATCAACAAGCAAGAGAATATCACTGCTGCTTCTGTTGACGTGCCTCATAAGTTCCACGAGCGTCTTCGACGCTTCATCAAGAAGGAGCAAGCTCAGCGTGCTGCTGATCAGATCCCTGTGCGCGTCTCTTCGACGGGCACGACTGTCACTGTCCGTGGTCCCGCTTCGGCTGTCACTTCATTCGAGACCAAGATCAAAGAGTTTGTTGAACAGGAGAAGCAAGACGACAAGGAGCGTGGCTTCACCATGGACTTTGACTTCCCTCAGAAGTTCGCCAACCACCTCATTGGCAAGGGCGGCAGCAACATCAACGAGCTGCGTGAGCGCTTCGACGTCGAGATTCAGGTCAACGAGGGCAAGGTTGAGCTGAAGGGTCCTAAGGCCAAGGCCGAGGCTGCCAAGGCTCACATCCTTTCTCAGGGTAAGGCCTGGGCCGACGAGGCCACACACATCATCAAGGTCGACCCCAAGTTCCACAAGGACCTCATTGGATCCCAGGGCAGTGTGATCAACCGTCTGCAGACGAAGTACAAGGTCGTCATCAACTCTCTAAGTCTGCCAGGCCCCAAGGAGACGCCGCAAACGCTGATGCTGCGAGCGATGCTGGCAAG